CCAAAGCACCACCGCCTGCCTGTGCCTGGCTCTGCCCCCGCTCCGCCTGGCACCCCTTCGAGCCCGAGGGATCTCCCCCAGGCCCCTCTCCTGCCCGGCGCCCAGCTCCCATACCCGCCTGCCCCAGGCAGGGGAATCTCTCGAGCCCCCCCGCTGGCACCAGGGTGCCCTGTAAGCTGAGCACTTGTGCCGCCACCCAGGAGGGAGGCATATGCTGCCCAGCTGATTGGCAGGGCGCGCACAGCCGGCAGCAAGTGTTTCTGCGGGTGGTGCACATCTGCCCACACCTTGGTGCAGCAAATAAAATTTATTCCGCCCCACCAGATGGGAAAACAATAGAGGGAACATTGTCTGGTGCCTCAGTGCTCCCAGCCCTGCTGCGTGCCCAGGCCCAGACTGCCTGGCTCCCTGGGCCAATGCAGCCGAGAATCAGAGCTGGCACGGCCAGCGCGGGGAGAGCCAGGGCCAGGTGCTGGGTGTCTGGCGGGTGGCCAGGCCCCAGGAGGGGACACTCAGGCCTTACTGTGCGCAGGCTGTTACCTGCTCAGCGCTTCCCACCTGTGAGCTGGAAGGCAGAGGACCAGCCTGCCTAGCAGTTAAAGCTCAGGAAGGCAAGCCAGGACTCCTGGGTTCCCTTCCTGAGCCTGGCAAGGAACGCTGGGAGCTCTGGGTTCTAATTCCCGCCCTGCCAGAGACTCTTGGTGCGACGTTGGCCTTGCTCTGTGCCTCAGTTTCCCCATGTGCAGGAGGTGGTGACACCGACCCGTGTTTGTCTGGCTCCATTTGCCACGAATGAGAGCTCCATCCTGTTATTGTTATTTTACAGCTGGGGAAATGGAGGCACCGGCTGCTGGTGTGGCTCGCCCAGGGCCCTGGAGGGTTTCCATGTGAGGATTAGAATTTAGGAGGTTCCTGTTTCCAAGGGCAGGGCTCAGCTCACACCTGTGTCTGAAACAGCAGATTCACAGCGCTCTGGGCCGCCGGCGTCGGCACGGAGCTGGGGAAGGATGCCAGAGAGGTGGCGCTGGAGGGGTGAAATTCCCTGTGTGTGGACAGGTCAGCGCCTAGCCAGTGGGGTCCCGTCCTGGGGCTCTGGGTGCTACCCCAACACTGAGAATAAGTAACAACCGCAGGGCTCAGGAGGGGAGATGCGAGGAGCCACGTCTGAGGCTAATGTCCCCCTTCTCTAGAGGGGGAGCTGGGGTTAAGTGAGAGGGCCAAGGTCACACAGGAACGCAGTGGCACCGCGGGCTCTCGATTCAGCGCAAGTCCGACGATGCTGCCCGAACTCCTGGACCATCCTCGGCCCTTGAAGCTCCCAGCTGGGTGGGGAGCGGGGTTCAGAGTCCTAGAAGTTGCCTTTGGTCCTCCTGATTCCCAAGCGTTTTAACCCCAACTCCTCATTTGAAAAATCTCCGCCTAAAGTCTCCTGCCGCCCAGGCCGGGACCTGGGTGCAAATCCTGCCCCCCCCGAGCTCCAGGGGATTGTCTCTGGATTCACACCCAGGACAGTGAGCTCAGACTCTCATGTTGCACAAACACCGCCCGGTGCGGGGTTGCCCGGCACGCAGGCCTGTCCTGCTGATCCAGGCTCCTCCCAAGGGTGCAGCGCCCTGACACATCAGCCCGGCAAACCTGCTGCAGAAACTCCATCCCCGACATGTCCCCACTGGCAGATCCCTGGGAGAAGCGATTAGCAGCCTGAGCTCCGGGGGAGCCCGGCCCCATGTGCCAAGCAGGTTACAGGAGCTGGGAACAGGTTCTAGCCTCTGCTGCTGCCTTGACACACAGGCCCAGCCAAACCAGTCGCGCCTGTTGCCGAGGCCTGGGCTAGTGGAGTTTGGCTGGCTCCCGGAGCAGTGTGGGGAGCAGCTGCGGCTGTTCCACGTCACGGTGTCTGCACGCCCCCAACCCCAAGGAGCTTTTTCAGTGCTGGGGTTTGGAGAGGAGACACTGACACACCCCTCGTCGATTTCAGGCTGGGCCCTCCTTACCCATAGGCAGGGCACCAGAAAATTTGGGGCACCGCTGGGTCTTAGTGTCCCCCCCTGCCGCCCCTTCCGGTCGCTGCTCTGTGGCTCTGCTTGTCCGGAGAGGAGCTAGGGAACGTACATTGGACACAGCCTGCCGGACTTCTTAGCAGGAGCGGGGAAAGAGCCACCGGGGGGTGAAACCGTTCCACGGCATTTGCCAACTCCGTGGAAAGTCTGCCAGTTTCCGAATTTCCCGTTGAGGCGACAGGCCCTTCCTTTCACATTTGCTTTTCAAATATTGCATTGCTGAAGACTGTGAAGCCTAAACCCATCCCCCTTCCCCCAGCTGCCGTCGGGCGCAGGGCCAGCGGAGAAACCGTCCTGCCACGGCCCCAGAAATCCCCTTCTTGCAGCCGCAGCCCGAATCAGGCCCTTGCCCCGTCCTTCCCACCCCAGCAAAGCGGGGTAAAGCGCAGCCCGGAGCGGGGGCTGTTCCCCCCCGGGTAGAAACGAGTCGAGGTGCAGCCCTTGGAGCCTGGAGAGGCTTTGCTCTTCTCTACACCAGGCGACTG